CAGGAGCGCGGAGCCCGCCGGCCTGAGCCGACGTTCCCCCATCGCGCCACCCTCTGCGGCAGAAAGCACGTTCTTTTCAAGGGCACGGGGATCATTCACCAAAACACATCAGAGCCTGGCTCACAAAACAGCCCTTGGCAAACTTTAAAGAATCCACAGCAAGCTACCTCCCCTGATTACATGAGAAACTAGCAACAGGAAAAGCTCCAGACGTTTGGAAGGAAACGCACTTCTCAGTGGTCCGTGGGTCTGAGAGGGAGTCTCAGGGAAATTAGGAACTGTTTTACACGGAGCAGAAACGAAAATGCAACTTCTCTGAATTTGGGATGCAGCTAGAGCAAAGTATAGCATTAAAGGTTTATTTTAGAAGAGGAGGAAAGATCTCAAATCTCTCCAAACTTCCATATTAAGAAACCAGAAAAAAGAAAAGCAGAGTAAACACAAATTGAGCAGAAGGAGATTAGCGCGAGCAGAGGTCACTGGGGTTGATCCCTGGAAACAACAGAGGGGTCAGGGAGGCAGAGGCTGGCTTGAAGCGTGGGTAAAATTGAGAGACCTTTAGGAAAACAAAATCAGAAGAGAGGAGACGGGGATTATCAGTGTAAGGAACGGAAGGAGGGGCCGCTACAAACCCAGTAGGCACTGAGAGGGAAATAAGAAAACACCACGAAGAAACCTTTGCACGCATGAGTCCCGCAGGTTAGACTAAAGGCACCGGTTCCCTGGAAAGCAGAGTACCACAACACCCGCAGAACGCAGTGAGGCAAGGAAAGGGAGTAAAAGGCGTTCAAATCACAGAACAAAAAACGAAACTGTCTCTGTTCACATGCAGTGTGACCGTCTACGTGGAAAAGCCCAAGGACTCTAGCAAAAAGTTGAATGAATAAACTTAGCATGGTCAGCAGACACAAATCGGTCATAGTTTGTGTACTGGCAGTGTTCAGTTGGAACCTGGAGCTGACACAGTTACGTCATTTACAGTAGCTGCAGAAACAGTGAAATGCTTAGGTGTAAACTTAAGGAAACACACACAGGATCTCTACGCTGGAAACCACAGAACGCTGATGAACAAAGGCAGAGATGGCCAGCGTAAATGGGGAATCGCTGTGTTCCTGGATTGGAAGACTCAACACGATGGAAGTGTAAGTCCCCCCAGATCAGTCTGTTCACTTAGTGCAATTTCAGTCAAAGTCCCAGCAAATTTTTTTGGTAGGTATAAACAAGCTGATTCTACAATTTCCATGGACAGGGAAGGTCACTGGAGTAGCTTCACTGATTTTGAAAAAAGAACAGTCAAGTTGGAAGAACCCCACAGCCCAGGTTTGAGACTCAGTCTGAAGCTGCGGTAATCAAGGCGGAGTGGTGTCGGTGAAGGAACAGGTGCATAGTTCGGTGTGGCTGAGTCGAGGGTCCGGAAGTGGACCCACACAAACGGGGCCTCTGGTGTCTGCAAGATGCAGAAGAAATCCCAGGAAGAAAGGGGGCGTCTCGTCCGCTAGTGCTGTGGGAAGGGGTAGTCGCATACTAATGCTGTTGGAAAACCGCCAGCTGTGTGCCACCCCCTCAAAAAAGGGGGTCTTGACCTAAACCTGCCAAAATTAACTCCACGTGGACTCTGTATCTAAATATAAAACAAAACTTTTAGAAGAAGACAGGAGGGGGTCTTCCTGGCTCAGTTATCAGGTGGAGAGCGCTCGGTGTGACGCAGGTGCCGTCTGCTGATGGAGAAGAGTCAGTAAACTGGGCTTCGTCAGAATGTAGGACTTCTGCTCTGAGAAGGAGCCTGTTAAGAGAAAGGAGAGGGAACTGGCAGACTGATTACACATCCACAGAAGGACCAGGCCCCTGAACGTGCGGAGAGCTCTCACAGCTCATCAGTGAGGAGATCCGGTCACCAGTGGGAAAGGACTTGGGCAGATTGCCGCAGAGGACAGACACCAGGAAGGCAGGTGAGACCTGCGGGGCTCCACACCACGAGCAGGTGGAGAAGCACGAAGTCAGAGCACAGCTGCTGCCGCGCGAGGTGCGGGCGAGGGCGTGGAGCGGGGCAGGGAACGCCGGTGGGACAGTCACCCCGAGAACGTTTGAGGAAATGAGGCATCCGCCTACCGTGGACCCAGCAGTTCCGCTCCTGGGTGTCCACCTAGAGCACCGGGAACTTGCGCTCACACAAAAACCTACCCGGGGGCCTTTAGCAGCCTGACTCAGAATTGCCCCAAACTGGAGACCACTCAGGTGTCCTTCGGCAGGTGAGTGGACACGCTGGTGTGTCCACGCAGGGCTACCTCCTGGCAGCAAGGAAGAAGGCGTGGGTGGCAGAGTCCAGCTCGGGACGTCACGTGGTGTTCCAGGGGACCAGGGTGGGAGGCTCTGGCTAGGAGAGCAGCAGTTGTGGATCCTCTGTTTGGGTTCGAATGCTGAAGACTGCACACCCAAACCAGTCAGCTTTACTGTGTGATTGTTTAAAAATAAAATGAAAACAAAAAAGAGGAACGTTGAAAGCAATGTTTCAACTGTCATGCAGGTGGGCGACTGCAGTGCCCCCAGGAGCTGGCCTGCCCAGGCCTTGCGTCGAGGGAACGCTTCCCAGTTTCTGGCCAAGGTGGATTTTTCCGACTCTGGCCTCAGCGGTCAGGCGCATCCAACGTCAAGCGGGGCTGGGGACTCGCTGGAGCCCGTGGGAGTCTGTGGCCCCATCCTCAGGACCCCAGGGGCTGGTGTGAGGGGAGGGAAGGTATGGCCAGCAGGGCTGCCCTGTGATGCGCGGGGACGGGGTCCTTGCCAATCTGCCCAGGGCTTTGTCCGACCAGCTCCTGGCCTCGTGGGCTCGTCTCCCTGTGGGGCCCGCAGTGCCGGGGCGGGGGGGCCTGGGAGCAGGCTCGGCGGGGAGGCTCTGTGGAGGCTGCATTACAAGTGCAGTCTGCCTTCTGCCTCGTCCCCTGGAGTCGCACCCTGACCTTCACCTTCAGGTGGGCAGCGCCTGGCTAGGAGGAGCAGGCAGTGGGCGGGCCTGGTGCCCCAGCGGCCTTCAGGGCTGTGTCCTCTTGTGCATGGAGGGTTGGCCTCCTTCCTGGTGGCCTGAAGTCTTGCAGCCCGACCCCCAGTCCTGCCAGTGGTACAAATGAGCCAACAGGTGCTGGGGGCAGCGGAGAGCTCTGGGTCCTGCTAGGGGGCTGGGAGGCTGGGGGAGGTGGGCAGCAGGGCTGTCTTGAGGCCACTTGGGCAGGCCATGCCTCTTCTTTTGGCTAGAGTCAGGCTGGCCATGAGATGGGGACCCTGCTGTCCTGAGAGCAGGCCTGGCAAAGTGGTGAGTGTAGGTGAGTCCTCATGGCTGTCACCCAGGGGTGCTGGTGAGCTCATATGTCAGGGCGGGGTGTTCAGAGCCAGCCTGGAGTCCCAGCCTGGGCAAGGTGCAAGGTTGAGGTGATGGGGGGACCTGGTCTAAGCCAGTTCTGAAGCCAGTAAAATCAGCTAAATGGGTAGGGGCGCCAGGTGGAGGTCTGTGTGAAGCCCTTTCTGGCTGGTACAGGTGCCACAGGGTTGGGGTCTAGGCCACGGAAGAGGGTGCTCTGGTCACTCAGTGGCTGGATGACCACAGCAGTCTGCGCCCACGTGGGTCATTGCCCAGCAGACCCGTGCCCTCCCTCCCCCACCCACCCACCTGCTCCTGAGCCAGCCTGCAGGTGCAGGGCCTTCTGCCTGGAAGACTGGAGCAGGTTGGGGTGAGCATGGGGATGGTGGTGGTGCGGCCGGAGCCTACCAGATGTCTGCCTGTTGTGCCAGAGGACAGGGCCGGTTGCTGTGAACCAGGAGACTCGCTTGGTTTCCCGGCTGGGCTTACGTAGGGTGTCCATGTCCCAAGCACTCTGGCCCTCTCTCACCTGGGGACTGCCTGCCCGCCCCTTGAATGGGGGCAGGCTAGGGGGCGCTGGAGGGCCTCCAGGGACCAGGTTCCTGATTACAGAGGCCCCTCCACCCACTGGGCCCCGTGCAGGGTTTGGCTTCCAGTGGTGGTGGCAGGGAGGCTCCTGAGGGTCCAGGCCCTGTGACAAGGCACAGCAGAGCCTCACAGAAGCGCCGGGAAAGCTGGTTTGTAGCCCTGTTAAGAACAGACTCGGGGCCTCTTGATATAACTCCTAACGACACTTGCCCCGTAGAGGACGGGAGGGGCTGCCCTGCCCAGGGG